TGTTCCACCTGCAGAATCCTTTGAAAGCGAGGAAGAGGCTGGCAAACCAGCTAGCAAATCTAATGGAGCAGTCCAGGACGTTATTCCTTAGAACTGGAGTACTCTGGCTTGTTTCAAATTTCTGCTCTTGCGGGAACATCTACGTTGTTCTTGCTTGTTTCTTAGGAACAGTGCTTCAGGGAATGCCCTGGAACATGGCTCATGGGGGCATTTCTCTAGGACAGATACCCAGAAATGAGAGGTGTGTGTATTTGAGATGTTATCAGATCCCACGAGACTGTCCGGTTCAAACACTGCTGCCACAGGAAACCATTTATGGTGTCATCATTTTATTTTATATCTTGCACAAGCTCTTCTCGTTGCTAAAGTTATAAACTGACTTTTCTGTATTTGCTCTGTTTGGCCTCTTGCTCTCTTACCTGTGGCTGCCCTCACTCCCCATGAGAACTTTTCCCGTTGTACAGGTACTTCCTGAGTCTGCTTTGCTCCTAGACTTGTCGTTCCATTTCACTGGTCCATGTTTCTACTCTGATCCATATTGTTCTGTTTCTCACCCATACTGCTGTCCTATCTTGTGTTTGTGCTTTTTAAAAATATATAACATAAAAATTTCCATTTGAACTATTTTGAAGTGCGTACTTCAGTGCCATCGGTCACATTCAGTGTTGTGCAGTAATCACCATTGTTTTCAGAACCTCCATCGGCCGAACAGAAGCTCAGAGCTCATGAAGCAATGGCTTCCTTTCCCCGGCTCACCCTGTCCCCGGGTGTTCTGCTCTGTCTCTGTGAATTTGCATATTCCAGATGGTTCATAAAAGTGGAACCATGCAATATTTGTCCATTTTTATCTGGCTTACTTCACTTAGCTTAATATTTTGAAGGTTCATGCAAATTGAATCATGTATCAGAACTTCATCTCTTTTTATAGCCGAATAATATTCTGTCGTACCCACGTTTTGCTTATCCAGTCACCTGTTCAAAGACACTTGGGTTGTTTTCTATTTGTTGTGAGCGATGCTGCTGTGAACACGTGTGTGCAAGTACCTGCTGGAGTCCCAGTTCAAATGGGGATCTCACTAGGAGTGGACTTGCTGGGTCATATGGTAATTCTTTATTGTTCAGTGGGCCTGCCCGACTCTTCTACACCGGCCACAGGGCAGATGTTTGACCCCCTTCGTCGTTGGTAGAAAGAGCAGTCCCTGAGGCCTGTTCTTCCTCCACTTTTGCATGCACCTGCCCACACCCGCCTCCTACCCCTCGCCCATCCCTGGAGCCAAGCACAGAACCTGGTACACGGTGGTACCAAGTGAAAGATGGCCTGGTTGGGTGGGTAGATGGACAGATGAACTCCAGACCACTGGGTGATGGAGGTTGTCCCTGATGGTATAACAGGACAGCAAAAGGAACGTCGGGCTGTGGAAAGAGCCCGCAGCCATAATAATGGCGAAGGAGCGCCGCAGGAGAAGAGAGGTCTGTTTCACAGAAGAGCCCTCAGTTCTCTGCGTCTCATTTAGCTCATCTGTAAAAGGTGGTCGCACTCCTGCGCTGTAGGATGTTGAGACATGAGATCCGGGTGCGAAAGCCAAAGACACCCACCCACCGGTGTTAGGTATTGCGGGGTCCCTAGTGTGCCCCAGCGCTCAAAATAGGGCTGACGCCTCAGGTAAATGGGTTCTTGCTTGCCTTCTTCCTTCATACATTCAACCACTATTAATTGAGGGCTTGCTCTGTGCCAGGCACTGTTTGGAGATGGGATTCAGCTGTGAACAGAGAAAAAGGCCCCAGCCTCATCAGTCACGCAGTGGGCCAAGAACAGGTCCCAAGAGACCAATCCCTTCCCATTCTTTTGGCACCGACTGTAGACTTTAAAAGCACAGCAAGAAATGCTGGTGGAGAGCTTGTGTTTAAGGCGGTGTCTCCAACTTTAAAGAGAAAATTAGATTTTAAAATGTAGAACAAAGATAGGCCCGGTACTTTGCAAGTCAGGCAGCTTGAAACTCCATGAGGAGAAACTATGGGGTTTCTGGGAGAGAAGTTCCCAGATGCCCCTCCTACTGTCACCCCCAGGAAAACAGAGACAGCCATGGACTCCATGTCTCCTCTTGCAGGAGTTAGGGAGGGGGAGGTGGGTGGCCGGATAGAAGGACTGTCACCAGGCTCTCTGTAACACCAGATACAACTAGCAGTGGTGCCAGGTGACACCTTGGCACACTTTGGCACCACTGGAAGACAGAAGTCTGTTTATCTGGTTTGGTCTCTGAGCCCTGCTTCCCAGGAGCCCTGGAGGGGGCCCAGGAGCTCATGGCCAGGGAGCATGGGTCTCGGGCACTGGTTGTCAATCACCTCACTTAATCCTCTCCACTGCCCTCAGTCAATCTCCAGAAAACAGGCTCAGGGAGGGTGAGAGCCGCAGTATGGTCACACATCTATTCATGGTGGAGCCAGAATCCTTGTTCTTCCCAGGACACCAGTTGAGCCAGATCCTAGAAACCAAGGAAAGAGGGGAGCAGCCAGGTTGGTGGGGCAAGAATTGGCAAGAGACTCTATGTAATAAAACCTGTTATACCCACAAGGACAGATTTTATTATTTATTAATAACCTTAGCAATAATAATAATAAACTTGCCTTCATACATTCAACCACTAATAATTGAGGGCTTGCTCTGATTGCTTTGAAGTCCAGAACATTTTATGAGCACTAATAGTTTCCTAAGTACTTTCACAGGTTATTCTGCACTTGATCCTTATAATAACCTCATGTAAGTGCGGTGTTTTTTTATTCCCATTTTATGGGCAGAGAAACTGTGGCTCACGGAGTAATTTGCCGCAGCCTGCATGGCTAGTCTGTTCGTGAGGCCTGGCTCCTATGGAGGGGGGGGGTCTGACAGTGGTGGGCAGCAGCTCTATCAAGTGTTTCACTCCCAGTGGGGTTCTCCAGGCAGAGGTGACCACAGCCTGGTGGAGGGGCAGGAATTCCTTCACCTAATGAGGTCACAGTCTGCTTTACTCCCAAACCATTATTACTCAAATCATGTATTGTAGCGAATGCCCTTGACCTATATGCACTGTTTACCAGCCTTTTCTCTAGAACATGAAATAAACTTTGCCTTTGTACTACTGCCATTTATTAAAAAGATTTTCACCTCTAGGGACGCCTGTATATTTAGGAATGGCGGGGTTCTTCCTGTGCATGTGCTTCAAGAGCCTCACTTGAAGTTTGGGCGAGCTGCCTGCCCCCGGCTGGGCTTGGAATGAGACCAGGTCCTGGCCCTCAGAGCATCAGCCAGCCCAGGTGATGGCACCAGAGCTAGAGATGTGCAGGAAGTGCCACGGGAGACAACCTGCCCAGGAAGACTTTGCAGAAGTGATGAGCACGTGTGTGTTTTTCTGCCAGGCAGAGAAACAGAAAGGACAGAGGTGGCCTTGTAGGGAGAGAGGTTGGCTCCTGCAAAGGCCCTGTGGCAAGAGAGACATGGGACAAGGCTGGAGGGGCAACGGACAGAGGAAAGCCCTTGGGATCCATCCCCCTTGAAAGCTGTGGGTGGTGAGCTCTTAGGATTTTTAAGGAGGGAGTGACGTGCCTGTTTCTGAATGTTCCCTGAGGTGGCAGATGGGGAATCTGGAGGTGAGGCCACTGTCCTTGGCTTCTCGCCACTTAAGCCCAGGATCCCATGATGGAAGTGGACTCCGGCCCCAGAGTCTCTGCGGAGGTCTGCTGGGGTGCTCAGCCTGGGAGGGTTTCAGAGGGGCTGGAGCAGCCCTGAGGGAGGCAGACGGGTGTGGAAAAGACCGGGCTTTTGGCCCCTTGGACCCGGGACCAGCCATGTGAGGGTGGCAGGCAGTGAGACCTTAGGGAATTCTGGGTCTTCTCCAGGTAACTCGCCCGCAGGGGCCCTGCTGAATCTCCCCACCCTGCCCGTGCACACTCCTGCTTCAGACACCTTTGTCACTTCCTGAAAGATGTCCTTGGCCTGCTGCCCTTTCCCCTACCACCTCCAGCCCCTCCTTGGTGCTCCCTGGGCACCTGCAGTCTTGTCTGGGTAACCTCCATGTTGTACTGAAATTGTGTGCAGTCTGAGACACTGGCATTATGTCTTAGCACTTGCAGCACTTAGCTTGGGACTACGCAGACAGAGGACACGCATAAAGGTTTACTGGATGGAACTACAAGGGAGAGGTCAATAAGGGCTGGGTTAGCAGGTAGGGGGTATCAGTGAAGAAGGAGCAGCCAGAAGGGCCAGGTGGGGGTTAGGGAGGCGGTGCATGGAGGGTGGCCCGTGCAAAGAAAGGTAACAGCTGGCAGAGAGAGGTCAGATTCTGGACGGGTCTGGATCTGCTTGAGTGGGCAACCAGAGAATGCACACTCACACACACTGATTGATTGATTGATTGATTATAGGGAATTGGCTCCCATTGCTGTCTGTAAGCTGGAGACCTCAGGAAAGTCAGTGGTATAATTCAGTCCAAGTCCAAAAGCCTGAGAACCAGGGCAACCAACAGTGTTAGTCCCAGTCCAAGAAGACCGATGTCCCAGCTCAAGTAATCGGCAGGAAAAGAACTGAGTTCTGCCTTCTCCCACCTTGTTCTAGCAGGCCCTCAGCACTGGGTACTGCCCACTTCCGCTGGGGAGGACAGTCTCCTGTACTCAGTCCAGCAACTGAAATGCCCGTCTCATCCAGAAACTCCCCCACAGGCGCACCCAGAAATAGCGTTCGGCCCACTGTCCGGGCGCCCTGTGGCCCAGTCAAGTGGACAGCAGTAAGCAATCACACCAGGAATTTCAGAGCCAGCAGCGGGATGAGCCCCTCCTGCAAGCCGTGCTGTGGCTTTCCATTTTCGTGAACCCCTTTAACACCCAAGAGTGGGGATCACCCACTCAGAGGAGGAGACTTGGTGCCTCAACTTTCATACCTGAATGGAGGCAAAGCCTCGTTACACTCATCCTTGGTAGGCGCCGGGTTGTGAATACAACATTTTTTTCTTTATTTTCATTGGTGCTATTACAAATGTCCCCATTTCTCCCCCCGCCCCTCGTCTCTGGCCATCACCATACTGTTGTCTGTGTCTGTGAGTTATGCATGTATGTTCTTTGGCTAAAAAACTAACTTTACCTTTTTTCACCTCAGGCCTCCTGTGGCTTCCTACTCTGTTCTATACACTATTTTAAATTGACAGTAATAATTAACATGTGCATGGTACTATAATAGAAACGATAGCTCACTCTTATATAACACTAGGTATGTCAGGCAATTTTCTGGTGTTTTACATACAGTAACTAGCCTTGTTTGTAGACAGGGAAATTAAGGCACAGAGGGCTGAATGATTTGCCCAAAGCCACAGGCAGCCAGGGTTCCATCCTGAGGTCTCATCTCACTTCCCCAGTGAGCTGCCCAAGACCATCCAGTGAGAGAAAACTGGAGGTAAGACTTGAACTTGGGGATTCTGATTTAAAAGCCTCTCTTCATTTGCCTCCCTACTCTGTCTTCAGAACTGTGGGAGCATTTTTACTGTGAGAAGGGTCCTCCAAGACGCTCTCTCTGCCTCCTTCTCATACAGGTAACCCCTCTCCTGCCCCGCCCCTGCGTGAGCAGTTGCCTCCTGCTAAATGGTGTTTGCACAGAGCCTGTGTTGTGCCTCTTAAAGAGAAATGAATGGGATGAATAAGCACCTAAAAATAACTTAGGATCAATTTTTGGGGGAGGGAATGGGGAAGGCTGTGTTTTCCTTTCTCTTCCCTCTCCTCCCTCCCTCTGCCCCTAATGCCCATAAATTGCTGCTGGCTGACAGCTGGACCAGGCTGGTTTCCTGTGAGGCTGTAATAACATGGAATTAGCCTGGCTGCCGCCCTTTCCAGGGCGGAAATGCTGGCCCTTGGTCACTACAGACATCTCTGAGTCGATGCCTCCTGCCCTGGTCCACGCCCCTGGGACAGGTCGTTGCTTATTAGAAACTGGGCACAGACAGATTCCTGGACTTGTCTACCTAGGGAGGAGCTGTGGAAAAACCTCTCCAAGTGAGAGGCAGGCAGCTTCTGGGCTAGGCCATTTGAGGGTGTCCAAAATTCCTGCCTCCAGGGAGGAGCCGGGCGGGCAGGGGCAGAGAGCGCTGGCAGCCTGGGCCCCTGAGCCGAGGTTTCCAGCCATCTGCTGACTCAGGGACTTGGCTGAGTGGCTTCCATCTGCTTCTGTGCCTCTTTATCCCCACCAGCTACCCACAGCCTGCCTAGAGAGGCTTTAGAAGTCCATTAGATCTTTGTTGCCTTTCCAGCTAAAAGCAGCAACCAGGCCACCCTTCTTCCTCAGCCCAGTTGATCTTGCAGAATGGATATGGATTCTGGGAGTATGCTGGATATTTCCGTGTACCTGGGGTCTTTTTTCCCGTGTGAGGCCAAATGCGTGGGAAGGCTCCACAGATCCCTGTGTTCAATATGGGGGTGGGGATGGCAGTGTAAAGAGGGAAAAGAAAACTACCAGGAGCAAAGAGGTCCTTGTTTATTCTGAGTCTTTGGCCAAGGGATGGAAAATTCCAGGTGGAAGCCTGGAAATTCCCCATGTAGACGCGGCAAGGTAAGTGCCACCGGTCCTGCCTCTTCACACCTCAGTTTCAGCCAGGACCGGGGCCAAGGTTCCCGGGCCCTAATTTTGATTCCACTTATTCCCAGTCTTGGCTGCACGCTCAGCATCTCCTGGGGGAGATTTACAATGCTGATTCCCAGGCAGGGCCCAGGCTTCCCAGGTGATTGCAGCGTGCAGCTGGGGTACAGAGCCACCACCGGCAATAACAGCGTCCGTTTTCCTCCACTCTACCTGGGTCTTTCCTTCTTCCTCTCTTTCTTTCTTTTCTTAGGATTTTATTTATTTATTTTTAGAGAGACGGGAAGGGAGGGAGAGAGGAAGAGAAACATCAATGTGCGAGAAAAACATCAATCGGCTGCTTCCTGCATGAACCTTGACTGGGGTCTGAACCTGCAACCTAGGCACATGCCCTGACCAGGAATCAAACTGATGATCCTTCGCCTTGTGAACAACACCCAACCAGCTGAGCCGCACCAGCCAGGGCCGCTGTGCTTTTTGACTTCTGATTTCTCAGATTCAGAGGTGGGCATTGCCATGCCTGGCACCATGCCCTACACAACAGGGGCTCAGTAGATAACGTTGAAGGCTGCTGTGATGACGACGATGATGATGATTTAAGTCACACTCTAAGGGCTAAAAGCATTCAAAAAGTGCTTTTCTATGACTTCATGAAAAAGTATCCCTTATAAACATCAAAGGGAAAGAAAGAATTGTTTTGAAAGTTGTACTTAAGTCCAGAAGGGATTAAGAACAAAGGTTCCCCGGAGTCCATAGCCAGCAAAATGGCCCGTCTTCTGGGTACTGTGGGCTTGGGTCCAGAATCGCAGTAAAGCGAGTTGTGATCTTTTTGCTGGTAGAGGGTCTTGCCTTCAGTTTGTAAAGAAACATAGCATGAAAGGCAGTAAAGCAAAGCACAATCAACTGAGGCCTGCAGTGTTCACTTTAACTTCTGTTAAGATTTTGGGGCACCTGGGACAATGCCAGAGATCTCTCAAATATATGTCTATTTAGGGTGTTTGCAGTGAAAACGGTGTTCAGGGGAGAGATGTAAACCACGTAAGGGATCGCTTCTTAGGAATCCCGTCCTGGGGCGCGTTCTTGCAGATGGGTCCACACAGAGCAGCATGCACCGTGAAGGGGGAGAAGCGGGGTTGGGGCAGGTGCCCGGTGTCCGCCTCTGGGGTTTTATGCAGCTCACTTAGAGGAAGGAAGAGAAGGCAGCTGAATTCACTGTACTCACAATCTATTCACAAGGTTTTAGAATAAAGAAAATCAACCCCATAAACAAAAGTTCATGCTAATAATAGCAGTTGAAACTGCCTGCCAGCCCCGGTGAGGGCATTAGCTGTGGGGCCCCAGGAAAGTCACTTAACATTTCTGGGCCTTGGTTCCTTATTGTAAAATTGGATGATAAAAGTAACACTTAGCGTGCAGGGTTTCTGTGGGTACTGAAAGAAATAGTACTTGTAAGTGCCTGGCATGTGGAGAGGACTCCATGAACGTTACCGGTTATTATTCACAGCATGACCTGTGACAAATATCCTCTCTCCCCCCAAAAGCACCCACCTCCCAACTTGCCTGGGGACGGTGTGCCCTTCAGGTATTGAGATACACTCCAGGTCTAGGACCTCTTGTACTGCTTTAGGGTGTTTTGGTTTTTGTTTTCAACCTTTAAGTGTAATCATGCCTGCACAGGAAGGCAGCAGAAGGCTTTTCCCACTGAAGTCACAGCGACTCCTGGAGAAGACCCGCATTCTGTCCAGGGAAGCCCCGTGGGAATACTCCGTGGGGGAGCCACCGGGATCGCAGGCCATGCTGGGATCTCACTGACCCTGGCCAAGCCTCTGTTTGCAGGAGCTTCCCACGGGAAGGTTGGGGGTCACCCAGCGAGTGATTGCCAGCTGTCAGCTGTGTGTGCTCGATGGCTTTGATTACTTATTTTTCTCCCTCTAACACTATTTGCGTGCTGTCATTTTGATCGGAATGACTGCTGTTATCCTTGGCTTTTCATCCTTTTCTCTTACGATATGAGCTTTGAAAAAATTATCCAGAACTTTCCAGGGACTCACCACCAGGTGAATGGAGAGATGGGGGTGTTGGGCTGAGCCTGGGGCCAGCCTTCCCGCTGTGCTGTGCTTTGCGTACATTGGTTTCCTTCGTTCTCACACCAGCCCTGCAGGTATAATATCTGTTAGCCGTAAAAAATTCAAAGATATTAAGATACTTGCCCATATCAAGAAGGTGATGCAGCCAGTTCAGCCTGAGGTCTGACCTCGGAGCCTACACTTTCTTCTTTAATATTTGTTATTAGGCAAGTAATAATATTTCATCACACTTTCCTTATAAAATATTAAAACACTATAGGCAAAGCTAAAGAAACTTTGGACCTCGTCTCCCCACCTCAGTGCCTTCCCTGGTTTCAGTTGTACACTCCTCCCTCTGTAAGCCTCAACTGTAAAAAGTGTTGTAGGAATTCCCATTCTACTTGCCTTACCCAATCTTTTAAGGATCAAATGAGATAATAGACAAAAAGGCATTTCATAAACTTTAGAGCCTCTGCATATGCTTATTGTTAACAGTAGCACAGTAACATACATTATGTAAGGCCCTTTGTTGGGAGTATTTGTTGCTGGAACTTAATGGAATCTCAAGTTTCTAAAGTCCTCTGTAAGGCCTGTGCCCTGAGCCCCTCCGCTGAGATCCGCGTGGTATTTATAGGGCTAGCCTGCAGAATCACAGTTCTCCAGTAGGTGCCGCCCTCTACCAGATACGTCACTACACCTTCCCTGAAGCTCTGCTGAGTCCATTCCCTACTTTTACCTTGATGTTAAGGGTGGCGCAGGGTTGTGGGTGAGGAATTTGGGCTGGAGAGAGGTCTGGGACAGATAAGGAAGGAAGGAACAGGGTACCTGTGATGCAAGGCCAGTGAGGCCCAGCCTCCGCCTGAGGGAGCTCACGGGTAAGCAGGGAGAACCAAGGACAAGGACCATCCCTTAGCAGGGTGACAGAGGCTGTATCCAGGAGTTCTCCATTGTGAGAGGGACTCCTGAGTGTGACTGCTTGTGTCTGGAGGGGTCAGGAATAGCTTCACAGGGAAGGTGACATCTGAGATGAGTCCTGAAGGGTGACAAGGGATCTGCCAAGCCGAGGAATTGGGAAAAGCATTCCAGGTGCTCCCTGAGTACTCCTGAGCAGTTTGATGGGCCAGGACCTCCCCCGATGGGGCAGAGGAGAAAGTGGGAGAAGGCAGACTGGAATGGGAGGAGATGCAGCCAGATTCGTAAGGAGCTTGAGGGGTAATGAGCCGTAAAAGAGGTTTGTTTGTTCCTATTTGGGGTGGGCCAGTGGGGACTCACACTTAGATGCTTCTAAGTGGAAGATGAGTTAGATGGAAAGAGACTGGAGTGAGAGGCTGGGGGCTGTTGTTGAAAGTCTTAGCCATCACGGGAACAGTTGTTACTGGGAGGGCAGGCCTTCCATGATAGAATGGAAGCTATTTCCCAGAAAAACAACACTGACCCGGGGCCTGATTAGATGGGGTAAGAGTGAGGGATTATCCATGGAAGAATTAAAGCTGACTTTGAAGTTTCTAGCTTGAGCAACTAGTGGAGGTAGAACCATTAGTTGGGACAGACAACATAGAAGAGAGACCAAATTGTGAAAACAGAGGGAAAAGAAAAGTTATCTGCAGACTCCCTGAGAACGAGGTGCCTGTGAGACTGAGCCACCCCACCCCATCCCGGGGGAGACGTCCCCGAGGCTTTTCAGATGAGGCGGCCTGGGGCTGGTGCCAAACGGACAGAATAGCCGTTGGAGGGCCGTAGCATTCTTACTTCTGAACCTGGTTTCTCCTTCTGACAATTTATTCAAGTTGCCCTGGCCCAAGCCGCTGGCCCACAACCTCAAGGTGACCATGTGTGCTTCCAGTTGTCCCCCTCCCCTCCTGCATGGCTAGAAGTGTCTTTCCTCACTGGCCGGAGCCCACGGAACCTGGTGGCACAGCCACTGTAGAGCAGGGAATGCTCAGGCGGGCCCCTCCTTGTCGCCTCTTCCAGGAGCCTGAACCTCCTGCCCTGGCGGAGTGGTAGGAACAGCAGCCCCCGGAGATGTTTGTGTGCCGGTGGCCCAGCAGGTGCCAGGTTAGCCCAGGCAGAGAAGCCCAAGCTTTCCTGAGAAAATCTGTTTGCCCCTTCCCTGTGTTTGTGCGTGTGTGCACACATGTACCCATGCTTACATGCACTTGCCAGGACACTCCCCCCGAATGGAGCAGGAGGGTGGGCCTCACGGCAGCCCTCTCCTTTGGCATCACGTGAACAGCTCCAAGGAAGTCTACAGAGAAGCCCCCAAGGCAGGGGCCAGTCTGCAGCCATGACACCAGTCCTCACTGACCTTTGGGTAGTGTATTCACTTCCTATGGCTGCTGTTAACAAATTCCCATAAGTTCCATGGGTAAAACAGCAGAAATTTATTCTCTGGTAGTTCTGGAGGCCAGAAGTCTATAACCAGTGTCACTGGGTCCAAATCAAGGTGTTGACAGGACCACATTCCTCCTGGAGGCTCCAGGGGAGGATCTGTGCCTTGCCTGTCAGAGCTTCTGGTGGTTGCCAGCCTGTCCTGCCCTGTTGTGGTGCATCATTGCCTCGCTCTGCCCCCGTGGTACTCTTCCCAACCTCTCCTGTGTGTTAACTGCACCTCCTATGGGGAGATGTGATTGCATCTAGGGTCTGTCCAGATAAACCAGGGTCATCTTCCCATCTCAGAATCCTTCATCACACCTGCACAGTCTTTGCCATAGGAGGTAGTGTTTACAGGTTCCAGAGATGAGGACCTGATATCTCTGGGGGACCATTAATTCAGTGGACTACAGGTAAGGTGTAAGAAAGTTCTTTCATTTGCCCCTTGCTACCTGCAAGTGAAGTGGGTGTCACTGTCTCCATTTTAGCAATGAGAAGATTGGGTTTGCCAGCTAAGGCACCAAGATCTATTGGGAGACCTGAATCCATTGATGAACCCGAGGCCTAAGAGACTTTGTTTGTTTGTTTATAGAGGGGAAGGGAAGGAGAGAGGGAGAGAAACATCAATGTGTGGTTGCCTCTTACACACCCCCAACTGGGGACCTGGCCCAAAACCCAGGCATGTGCCCTGCCTGACTGAGAATCGAACTGGTGACTCTTTGGTTCACAGGCCAGCAGCACTCAATCCACTGAGCCATGCCAGCCAGGGCAACTTTTTAAACATATAAAGTCTATCCATCTTTTTTTTTTTTAAAGATGGTCATACATTTAATGAAGCAGATAATCAAAACCTCATTTGTGCATTGGTTTGACTCCTGCTTGTTTGCCTGGCCCTGACTGCACTTGGGTGTCACCTCTGTGGGAGCCCAGCACGCTAGAACAGACTGCAGCAGCCCTCCTGACTCCCCTGGCTGGGGCACAGGATGAGAAGAGCTGGGCTTGCTGGGGCAGCCCTGCAGTGGGGTGGAACTCGAGTTTAGACAGAGACCTGGGCCTGGAGAGCCCTTACCTGAAGCTGAGGGACCCCTGACTGGGGTCCAGAGCCCAGAGATGAAAAATAACCTCCACAGTGAAAGCCCTTTACACCCCCACACTTCTGCTTTTCCATCTTTTATATCATAATGTTCTCACATTCCTCTAGGAGGCAAAGAAACACTCCCTATTTCATAGGTTGAGAACTCAGAAGTAGAGGCAGGGCTGTCCTAGACAGCATAGGGGACTTAACCAGAGCTGCCTTCTTGGCCCTTTGGTGTGGCCAGAGGGCCAGGGTTGTGGATAGGTCCCATCACCTGCTCACTGGGAAGGATTTTAGAAGCTGGATGCTCCATGGCAGCAAGGGAAACTTTTGCTGGCTTGGGCTGCCCTGTCCTTGTTGAGGACTGTCCTACCCCCATTCCCTTCCAGCTGTGTGGCCTGGGGCAAATCACTCCCCTTCTCCGAGTCTCAGTTTCCTCACCTGCCGTGCAACACAGGGTTGGTGTAAGCTGTCTCGGGTCGCTGCTGACTCAGCTGTGCCCAAAGCCATCCTGCTCCTCTGAGGATTTGAAGCAGCCTGTGTTGAAACCAGAGGCTTGGGGCTCCAGCCTTTTTCTGGTGACTGCCCCAAAGAGCATTGGCCAGGAGTCCTTTTCTGCCACCAGCTTCGCCCCCTACAGAGAGGAGTGTCTGCCTCCGATTTCTCTAGAGGCAGACAAGACATCGAGTACGGAATGGAAGATTTGGGGGTTCTAGTTTGAGAGAAAGGGAGCTCTGCACTCAGAGCCAACGTCTATTAGCAGCCAGTTTCCCTTACTCCAGGAAGGGCTGGTTACGGCTTACTCGCGGGGAACCTAAGGGCCTTCCGGGGATACCTGTTCCAGTCTTAATTCGCCCATCTGCTGGCAGACCCCAGACTCATCTGGACGTCCCCTCCGGATTAGCCGAAGGAGGGAAGCAACTGGCTCTGAATTCCGCCTTTGTCCAGTGAAGCCAAATGAGGAGGGGCTGAGCGGACCCCCTGCCCCCACTGGAATGTCGGCTCGCGGCGCCCCCCAGCTCGCCCTCCTTTCCAGCCGCCTCCCCCGCTCACTTCCTGAGTCCCACTGATCCCACCACCAAACACGCACACACACACGCGTGCGCGCACACAGATGCACATACCACACGGACACTCACACTTCCTGGCGGCCTCGCTCCCGGCTCAGTGATCCCCGTCGCCCCGACTCCGGGAGAAGCGATCTTTGTTATTCAAATAACACCCTCGCCGCGAGCTGGGCCGCGGGCTCCAGCCCAGAAAATCGGTCCATTGCCCGTTCCCCGCATCCCTCCGCTCACAGCTCCCTGCTCCCCGCCATCAGGGCACCCCGCGCTGATTTCGGGATTTCCCGGCTCCCGGGGACTCACCGTGCGGGGCTGCTCGCTGGGCCGCGCCTCCCCCGCCCCCAGTGCGCGCTGCGGCTTCGCGCTCCGCACCCTCCCCCTCCCGGCCTCCCCTCCCCCTTCCTTTCCCTTCCTTTCTCCCGTCCAGCCGCGGTCCTGCCGCCGCCGCCGCTGCCGCCTCCGCCTTCCCCGCCTTCCCCAGTCCGCGGGGGCCCTGCCAGCAGCCCTCCCTGCAGCATGGCACCATCGGGGCTGGATTAGCTGGGAGCAGCATTTGGGGGAAGCGGATCCCAAGGGGTGGGGGGTGCCCTACAGCCTCGGTCATGGATGTGAGCAAGATGGTAAGTGAAGAGCAGGGGCTCTGCCCTGGAGCCTACCCCCTCCCCCCCCCCAACACTTCCCTCTCTTTTTTTTCCCCTCCCAGTCGGCTTGATCCTTTGAAAGTTTCTGGATTGTTGATCCTGCCTGTTGGCCCCAACTCCAGGCGTGCTGGAGAAGGGAGTCGGGCCAGGATTCTGGAGGCGGCTGGCGGACAGGGATGGGGCTCCCGGTTTCCCGCCGCGCTGCCGCCAGGGTTGCCCCGGGGAGCTCGGTAGTCTCCTGGGAGAGAGGGGCTGTTGAGCTCACCTCCCAAATTGTGAAACCAGCCTGGTGGGGGAGGGGGGCATGGCTGCGGGAAAGGGGCTAGTCCCCTCCCCTCCGGAGCCCCTGCTTGCACACCTATTTGAGATTTATGGGAAGATTTTTGGACCGAGTCAGTGGTCAGGAGGGCACAGGTGGGAGGCCTTGGAGGGAAGTGTAGAGGAGCTAGGGCGTTAACCTCCCAGGAAGATGAGGGGGCAGGAACGGAATCCTTGTCGTAGATGAGGGATGTTCTAGATTTACCACTTGTAGACTCCAGCTGCGACCGTCTATGGAACAGTCTCTTACGCAGCTGACTCCATGGAGGGGGCTGATCCCCCCTTCAGGGCAACCCTTCACCCCCAGGAACACAGTGGGAGCTGAATGCATTGCTTATTAATTGAGGAGCAGTCCTCAGGGGGTAGCAGGATGTGAATTAGGGGACTCTGAAGGGAGAGGGTCTCTGGGAGCACTTGTCAGTCTGGAGAACGTTTTCTCAGGGGTCCCGATTGGCTGCCACTCTGAATGAAGATTTTAGGATGCCCTTGGCATCACTACCACCCTGACCCTGACTTCAGGCCAGGGGAACACATCCCACACCCCAAGCCTTAGAAACTTTGGGGGCTGGAGTGTCAGGCTGGAGAGGTGCCCAGCAGATGGGCTGTGCTTCAGAGGAAAGGAGCTGGGTTGGGGTCTGTCTGCGTGTCTGGGGGAGGGGTCTGGGTCTACGGGTACGTTAGGGATAGAAAGGTACTGGAATATGATTTCCTCTTGTACAGAATTGGCTAGTTTTCCCAAAGAGTGCCCTTTAGAAGCAGCTACCTCTGTGGGGAAGGCAGGTAGGTTCCTAGCCCTGCCAGGCCTTTGGCATTCTGTCTTGGGTGGGGGACAAAAGGAAGGGGAGCAGATGATAGGTTAGAATCATTTCTTCTTCTGGCTGGAGATCAGTCTCAGACTGACTGAGCGCCACCCGTGGGGTCGGGCGAGGAGCTCCGTGGTCTCCCATCTTCCTGTGTGGATGCATGCATACCTGCTCCTGGTTGGGCAATGCCAAGAGAACAGTGCCAGGGGATCAGTGAGCATGTTCAGTGTTCGCTGGTCCCCAGGTGTGAACCACGAAAGCTCACTTTCTTTGGGCGATTATTAGAACTAACCCTTAAAAAAAGCCCTCTCTGCAGCTGTGGGGGTGGGGTGGTGGAAAGCTGACCAGCGGCCAGGCCCTTTCCTAGAGATGTCTTAGCAAGACCAGAGAGTCACCAGTCCAGGCTACAGTGGATGGGCTTGAAGATCTAATCCCGTGGCTGCCATACAGCAATCAGTGCAGGCCTCAGACAGAAGACCACAGCACCGAGGGCTGTGAGTTCAGATGGAGGACGACGCCCTAGTCTGGCTTTTCAAGGCTGAGCGGTGTGGGTTGTGCCGAGGGCCGTGAGAGGCGTTGGCTGCCGGGAGAGGGGAGAGTCGCAGGAAGAGGAATAGGCAGAGCCCTTTGGGTAAGGCTGAGGATGCCTGGCTGGGACAGAGGTTTGCTATTAGGAAATGTTGAGATCATTGGTTAGGGCCAGACCAGAAAGGCTTTGAGTACCAGCCAAGTCGTCTCAGCCTTGGTCTGTAGGCACTGGATAACCTCTGGAGGATAATTTTGGGCACTGGAAGGGCTCATGTATTGCCTCTTTTAGCTTGGGATCCAAACAAAAGGGATATTAGATTCTCATTAATTATTGAGCAGCTAAATACCCAGCCCAGAAAGCATTGTCCTCAGCTCTTTGTAAAGAGCACAGATCCTGGACTGTGTAGTGAGAAGAACCCAGCCCACCCCAGGGAGTTGGTGCCTGCCTCTTGTTCCTGAAGGGGCCCAAGTTACTATTTGTTCCGACCATTAAAGCCCCATCTCCAGTTTGAAGTCCTTGCTTTGGGGACCTGTAGGTCCATGGTCGAACTCAAACCCAGCATTTCCCCCATATGCTTGGCAGAGCCCAGCATCAGCCTTGGGAGTTTCTTTAGCTTATCACTGAATGAGAAAAGCAAATTATAGCTCACCCAGCTCCCTGCAAGCTTTTGAGCCAATTTCTTACCTCTTAGCCTCATCTGTAAAGTGAGGACAGTAATAGAGGCATACCTAATTTCATTGTACTTTACAAGTATTGCGGGCCTTTTTTCTTTTTTCTTTTTAACAAATTGAAGGTTTGTAGCAATCCTGCACTAAGCAAGTCTATCGACACTATTTTTCCAACAGGCTCAGAAAACAGCTGGCATGTTTTAGCAATAAAGCATTTTTAAATTAAGGTATGGGCATTTTTTTAGACATAATGCCATTACACACTCAGTAGACTAGTATAGTTGAACATCACTTTTATACGCACTGGGCAACCACACAGTTTGTGTGGTTCACTTTATTGTGATGCCCTTTTCAGTGGCCACCTGGAACCAAACCTGCACCAGCTCCTTGGTGTGCCCATTGCCTGCCTCTCGCCGTCTCACGAAGGCTGGAAATAAGTCTTCTAAGGCGCAGGACCTGGGATAGTGAGTCCTCCACACCTGGTGGCTGTGACGATCACGTTGGTCTCCAAGATGTCTCTGATTCTCTTCTTGGCCTGCTCCCCACCCCCACCCCCGCCCTTTCTTTTCTTGATTGGCCAGAAGAGCTGAGTGTAGGCTGTATTTAATTGACTGCTTCTGAGACCAATTCTCCCATGTCTATTTTCTGAATGAAGGTACAAATGACTAGAGAGTGTGGATTCACCAGCTGCTATGACTGATGCGTTTTTGATGCCACCAGGTATCTGCCCAAGGGAGAGCTGGTTTAACCTGGCACTTGGGAGTAAAGCACAGGTGCCTTTTGGGGGGTTGATGATGGAGTCTGTGCCTTTACGAAACACAGAGGGTACAGAGCTGTAATTTGGGGAGCAGAGTCAACACTGTCCGTTCTTACAAAAGAATGTACAGTTTACATAGTAGTTTATATTTGCATAGTGCTCTAGAGTTTACAGGGCTTTTCCATATTTGTTCGTGTTTATTACAGTCCCGTGAGGAAGGCAGGGCAGAAATAATAAATCAAATTTTGTGGATAAGAAAACCGAGGTTCAGCAAAGCGAAGCCCCGGATCCCATATATGTGGTGGGACCAGGTCTTATAAATCCAACTCTCCTGGTCACCAAACGCGTTCTGTGACGACACAGGAAATAAAGGGCAAGAAGAGAAAAGCAGGTACCATGTGCTTTCATGCGTGTGTGAAATCTAATGAGCAAAATAAACTCACAAAGTGGAGACAGACACATGGACACAGTTGTCAGAAGGGAGGGGGTTGAGGGCCGGATGAGAAGGGTGAAGGGATTAAGCAAAATAAAAACAAAAAAGAAAGACTCGTGGGTACAGACAACTGTGTGGTGATTACTAGAGGGAAGGGAGGGGCGAATGACGCAGAAGGAGGGCGTAGGAGGTCAGTGGTGAAGGAAGGGGACTTGACTTGGGGTGGGAAACACACAATACAACACACAGATGATGTGTTGTAGAATCGTACACCTGAAACCTATATAATTTTATTAGCCAATGTTACCCCAATACATTCGGTTTAAAAAATAAAAAGAAATAAAGATAAAATATAAGGAAAATTATTCAGTGGCCACAAGCTAATCTGCAAAGACGAGCTGGTGGTGGCCTTTGGTTTCTGGGTCCCCTGGGGCTCACCAGCCGCCCTCCTCCTCCGCACTCCCATTACTGCCTGAGCTCCACCTCCTGTGCCCGCCCACCCCTCCCACCGAGGAAAAATTATCTTCAAC